TGGCTTATTATGAAGCAACTGTTTAAAATCCTAAGATAAGTTCATTACATTCTGTTGGGACAATTAGCTATTTGGGAAAAAATAGATTCTTACCTCAGTACTTATACCTCAGTACTTAAACAATACTTATAGATTTCATAGGGAAATGTTAAATATAAAAAGTAAATAAAATGTTAAATAAATAAAATATATTTGAAAAGAAATAAACCCTTTAGGGGAAAACACACAAGAACTTTACATTTTAAAATTAAAATGTGATGGGGCTGGGGTTGTGGCTCAGCAGTAGAGCGCTCGCCTAGTATGTGCAGGGTGCTGGGTTCTATCCTCAGCACTTCATAAAAATAAATAAAATAAAGTATTGTGTTCAACTACAACTAAAAAAATGCAAAAAAATTAAAGTGTGAAATGTTTAGTAACACAAACTTAAAAATAAACAAAAACAGGAGCTAAGAAAGAATTAATAAATTTGACTACAAATAGATGAATCAAACCAAAATAAATAAACCCAAACAAAAAAATAAAGTCAAAGATAATTTGGGGAAGGATATTGCATGGCAGAAAAAAAGAGCTAATTCGCGGCTGGGGTTGTGGCTCAGTGGTAGAGTGCTTGCCTAGCATGTGTGAGGCACTGGGTTTAATTCTCAGCACTGCATTTAAACAAATAAATAAATAAAGGTCCATCAATAACTAATATTAGTAAAATTAGCTCTTTTAAAAAAATATATGTAAAGAGTTCTTATACATCAATAAGAAAAACTAAAAATCCCAAAGTAGAAAGGATAAATTTTATGTGAACTGACATGTCACATAATAAGAAATATGCATGGCTTATCAACAGATGAACCCAAAGCTCAAGATTACTAGTGCTTAATTGATGTTCATTAAAATAACAAAGAATTATATTTCACTTATCAGATTGGCAAATATTTTAAAGTTTCTTAGTGTACACTCTAGGTAAGCACTCAAGGAATGGAGCATTCTCACAGTTTTTATGTAAGACTGGATTTTCCAAGAGCTATTGAGTTATAAAAGTCAAGTAGCTTTTCTTTAGCAACTGCATTTCTAGGACTTTGTCCTGCAAAGGTATCCACATGTTTCAGCAAAGTGTCGGTATACACAAATATTTACTATGTTGTGTTGGTGATAGCAAAAAGATGGAAACTGTACAAATTTCCATTGAGGGGGGAATGTTTTGATAAGTATATGGTGGAATACTATGTAGCTACCTGAGAGGTAGAAATAGGTATCACTAGTCCTATCACACTCTAGAGGATAGACTGGTACAGAGATACTAAAGGGAATTCAACAATATTTTTTATAATTGAAAATGTTTACATAAATGTCCCCAACAGAGTAGTGAGATGAGTAAACTACGGCATGCTCCATAGCACTCAAAATAAGGAGTTTCAAGACACAGTGTTGAGTGTAAAAACAAGGGCATATTTATATACATCTATAGAATCAGTGTCAAGAAAAAGATCTGGAAGGACATGTGACAAATTTCTGGCTCTAGGGACCTCTCAGGAGACAAGAGACAGGATCAGGTGTG